AAAAAAATCCCATTTTTCTAGAGGCTTTAATTAGGTACCCAGACACAGCACTACTTGTAGTAAAATATGAGAAAATAAATACCACGTATAACAATGGCCTGATTCCCTTTCTTCATTTTTTCTGTGAATATATTAAGACAGGTGAACTCCATATGCTATAATTTCTTTATTCCATGCATTTCTTATCCTATTTTTTTTTCTTTGACTTCTCCTCCCCCATTATTTTTCTTTTTCTTGACTCCATTTCCCATTCTGCTTCAGGGTTTACCACTAACCAACAGCTGATGGAGATGGGAAAATAACACTGGTTAGCAGTAAAGCCAGAAAAGAAATAGAAGTCTAACAAAATATACTAAAATGATAGTTGAAGTCTGCCTATAGGCTCAAACTACTTTCTGAAGGGAATATATATATATATATATTGAAAGCTTCCCCTGCTCATCTGAAAGTGTCCTCCTACTGCAGCACATGCTGCTACATCCCTGTGGCCACAATTCAGCCACAAATTGAACAAACATCTGTCTGAGGATCAATAAGAAAGTTCATGAGAAAGTAAATAGTATGAAAACAGTTTCTAGAGCACTTACAATTAAATACTTAGTAACATGTTCCTTATGTAGCACTTCCCTTCAGATAATGTAAGTCTGATTTCACATTAGAAAAATAAAGATCATGCTATATTGTCAAAAAGAGGGGGAAGAAAAGGAAAGAAAAAAGACCTGTACAAACAGAACTCTGGTCTAGGGAATAAAGACCCTGGTTTTACTTGTACACAAGTTTTTCTTTTTAACTCATAATCAATTATTCTCAATTACTGTAGCTTTTAAAACACTAATTTGGGTAGCGTTTCTTTTCTCTAACTTACTGGTCTATTAACCAGAAACAAGGCCAAATTATCTCATAAAAGAATGAAATAGTATTTTAATGTGCCAGTTTAGTTCTTGGCTCTCACTCTTTTCCGAAACACGCAGCAATCAGCAGTGGAAAGGATATCTTCGGTTAGCTAATCTCTCACATGAGGTCTGTGAAGTATCATGATGAATGCAGAAACAAACAATATGAGTAAAAGGGGGAGAAGCTGCATAAATCAAAAGACAAAACACTATGAAAATCCTCAAATCCATGAGAACTACGACAAAAATTCCGCCTTATATCTCCCCAAGGGCAGGACGGAGAAGTGCAGGGAGCAATCTGCCATGCGGCTCCTGACCTAAGCGTTGACCTATTTTGAAGCAAAAGAGCATCCAAACGGCGACGTTTCTGCTTCTCTCTGCAGCAGCCGACAGCTAGAAGTGAAGACGTGTGCGAGCACCACGGAGCTGGTCCGCACCGCGTAAGTGCCGCGAGGCGGCAAGCGCCACCGCTTCCTCCTCCTGCTCCCTCTGAGCGACGTGACGCGGTTCAACGTCTCCGCTGCTGGCCGTGAGGGAAAGCTGGGCCTGCAGGCAAAGTCCCTATGGACCATCTTTAGTCTGAAAGCTCGATGCCATTCACCATGTTTCTGTTCTGATGTTCCAAATATACCATCTTCAAAACGTACCCGTTTCCCTCCACCCAAATAACATGCAGACACAGATGCAAAATGAAAACCACAGCAAAATGAGTTAACTGCCTTTTTAAGGTTTACAAAACCTAGCTTCTGGCAAAAACTCACATGCCTTAACAAGTGTAACAATTTCAAAAAAGCTGATTTTTTTTTAAAACAAAGAAAATTGATATAATTATTTGAAAGAACTGTTTCTGAACGAAAGTAAGATAAATATTCTTTTTAACAAATAAAGACGTTATGCTATCTTCCACAGTAGGATAGACAATTAGGCTTGTTTTTATAAACGTAAATACTATTCACAGCTAAGCCTGAGTGTATCCATTAGAGGCAAAAAAAGAAAATATTCTTTTATAAATCTAAGTAAAGATTTGAAGAAAGTGATTATAGTATTACCCAGAAAAGACACTATTACAGGAAACAAAAACAAGAAACTAAATAAATATTTTATGAAACTTCTTTCTTACAGAAAAAAACCCACTTATTCATAATTGAGGTGGGCAGCCTCAGCCTTCAGCATAGCTTACTAATAATGAAGGATCTCAGGCAAGTCCCCACCTGCTGTTGATCTCTCTGCTCCAATAACCGAGCCAAAAAGGAGAACAACTCTTGAAAACATCCAAAACTCAAAGGGGCATCGACTTTTTGACCTGGATTCATGGAAGTGACCTGCTGCACAGCAATGTGGCAACAGTGATTCTGCCCCCAATTGCTTAGCATGGAGAAGAATTTCTACTGTGCTGACTCCAAACGACTATCTTCAATATTTTAATGTGCTTCAATATTTTAATATGCTTCAAAATACTAAAATTATTTCCACACTGTCAAATTGTCAAATGAGTTAATGAGGACAGGCATACTGATGGAAGAAAGGTCGATGTAGCTAAGTATAACAAATAAATTAGGAACAGAGAAAATGAGAAAAAAATCCTAATTTCTTAAATTTGAATATAAAGAAATTATGCAGAATATTAAATTTATTACAATTATTCTGTACCTTATTTATATCTAATTTCCATTTATTAAAATTATTTTTTAGCATTTACTTCATTTATAAACCATCAATCAAAATTAAAATGATGGAACAAAACTCCTTTTATGTTTGTTAAACCACAAAATGATATATAAAATTACCAAACAGCAGTGTATTGGGGATTTATATTAATACATTTCAACGAAAGTATATGAATGATTTACACCTATTTTATTATTTAAATTAGCTGGTTAATGATGCTTGTATTCTAAATTCCTTTACCCATAACCCAGTGTTGTGTAATTTAATTTTAGCCAGAGTAAGGAAGATTTCATAGCTCTTCCCATGCCTTAATCACATTGTACTCATAACAGAGGGATGCAATTGGTAGGTCTGCTCCACCCAACTTGAATCTTATTTTCCTTATAGATGATCAGGAAACGGTCTAGTTTGGTATGTTCAACTGTAAAATATAAAGTGAAGCATGACATCACAGAATGCTTAAGGTTGGAAGGGACCTCTAGAGATCATCTAGTCCAACCCCCCTGCACACGCAGGGTCACCTAGAGCACGTGGCACAGGGTGGCATCCAGGCGGGTTTGGAAGATCTCCAGAGAAGGAGACTCCACAACCTCTCTGGGCAGCCTGTGCCAGGGCTCCGTCACCCTCACAGTGAAGAAGTCCTTCCTCACATGGAGGTGGAACTTCCTGTGTTTTAATTTGTACCCCTTACCCCTTGTCCTGTCACCGGCCTCCAAATGATGATATCATATTCTCTTAAACTTAACAGCTTTTGTAACTCTAATACGTAGTCATGAGACATAACTTCTTCCTGGTGCTCACCTTTTTAGCACAGATGCCTGTAATTTCAGTGAAACAGCTGCTCTTGTTGAGCGGCTGCTGCAAAGAAAGACGGTTTGGATCTAGGGTTCGAAGGGATGAGAGAAGCACTTAAGGTTTCCACAGTCAGTCACAAGAAGGGTGGCTGCAAGAGCTGGCCAAGCCATGCCTAAGAGCTTTCCATATATTTTCCATTTATTCTGTGGCTGTGCGTATTTCCCTGAGGACTGAAGTGCCTCAGACTTTGAAATGGTCTGCAGGGATTCTCTTCATAAATAGATATGATGAGAAACTCTTAAGCTGCCATGCAGAAAGCCAAGAATGAAGAAAGCATGAAAATGTTGATAAGCCAAGAAAAAAAAAAAAAAAAAGTGCAGAAAAGGGTTGAGAATTCACTCCAGGCTGATGTATGGAATAAAAGGAAGGAGTCCCCCTAGTCCATCTGAGCGAGGATGAGTTGTGCTGTAGCAATGAGGACACTCTTAGGAGGGGCCCTGTGTTTGAATAGTCCTCCTGGGTAGGAGGTGAGGGCAGAACGAAGAACCAACTGCAGTTTGACCCACGTGAAAACTGTATGACTGCAATTGACAGACAATTCACCTGCCCTGGGAAAGGCCGCTCCTTCTGTGCTAAACTGCATCACGTCCAAATTCAGCTAATTCCGAAACGATGTCCAGGCTGACGTCCAAAACCTCCCTCACTGTTAAAAGGCACACATCTCTCTCAGTGGGCTGGATATATTCAAGACAAGAAAGACGACTGTCTGAAAGACACCGACTCGCTTGGGGGGATTTTCCCGTTCTAGGAAGTCCAAATTGGTCTTGTTAGGCTACAGCTGACCCTTCCAGAACAGCACGGGTGAAACAACCATCTGTGAAAGATCCTGAATCTTCCTGAGTCCTTTTCTAGCAATCTCAAAATCTGTGATGCCATCTATATAGCCTCACCCATCCAGACTACCATCATTTCACATAAAAGGCACTAAATTTTGCAGAGGGTTCAAATGGAGTTACCTCTTACATAACGTTTATGAACAACTCATGAGGGATAGTTCAAATACGAAAGCCAAAACCAGCAAGACGTTCAACAATGTGTTTGTATCAGGGGAAAATACACTGATTTAGAAGGAAAAAAAAAACAAAAACAAAAACAGACCTATAAAATGACTTGGAATAGGAGAGAAATTGCTCTTAAGAATGGTAATTTTTTTCATATCTAGAATCCTGGAGGACTGGAATATCCCAGATAATGAAACTATCTGAATAATCTAGGGGCACAGTAAATAACTGCTTGGTGATTTTTTCCCTCTTCATCAATGGGATATATAGTTAATTTATATTGTTTTATTTAACTATATTTTTTATTTAATTTTATTAAATAACCACAATATTTTATTACATTTAATTACTAAAAGCATTCCTCTCTAAAATCAATGCTTTATCAGTATCATGAAAATATACTGCAAACCTGTATTATGATGGAGTAATTTTGCCAATATTTTAACACAGAAGCTAATCGTCTTCTTACAGGAAAAAATAATCAAAAGTTCACCAATATTTTAAAATAAAAGCAAATCTAATAATGAGCAATAAAAATGCGAATTCATGGCAGAAAAAACAAAACACTTGATAAAAGTAGTACCTTTTCGTCCAGGGTACACTTGAGGGTGATATTCATAATAAAGATCAGGCTGGTCTAAATTTCCAAATGGTTCAAATTCCATTTCTGCATTTTGGAAGAGATTCAGTTTTACCAGTAATGCCAGTCTCACAAACCACAGCTAGAAAATTAACACATATAAAAAAAGCAAAAGGCAAAGTCTGTTATTAGCTTCAATCAGAAGGCATATATGAATAATCTTGGATTTTTTTCCAAAATATTTTTGATAAGTCAATTAATGAGTTTCTATGACAATTTGTGATGAGAATCACTACTTATGTTACATGTTTCTTCACAGAACACTTTTCACAAAGTCATTAAAATAACAAAAACCAAAGGACTGATGTTTGTTTTTGAAGATGAAGCCTACAAACTAAGTTAGTCTGCCTCGAAATCAGAACATCTCTTTTTAATTAGATTGAGATAGCATGTAGGATTTATCAGCCGAAGTTTTACATGTTAAAAAATATGTAATGTTAAGCATCAACATTATGAGTTCAGTGAATTTCCATGATCTATATAGTACTAGGGCCAGCACTGTACTTGTCTTCTGTTCACACTTCACCGAGTAGAACAATTGTATCATGAACCTTTATTAATTTGGGTTATTATTATCAAATTGTCAAAAAATATATTTCTAATATTTGAAATCTTACTACAGAGTTCATAATCTATACAGAGTCCATAAATGTTAGCAAAGTCAGGCTTCTAAGATAAGCAAAGTGTATTTCTTTTTACTAGTCTATCCATCTTTAAAAATATGCAAACAAAATAAGAGTTTTACTTCTTAAAAATGTTTTGTTTAAAGTGATGACCTACTTTCCATAAGGAAACAGCAAAAGTGACTTGCTACGATGTATTAATCGGCTTATTTTTTAGGACAATTTTGAAAGGAAGTTTGAGCACGTTTCAAAGAATGTTGCTGTGAATACTCTGGAGAAAGGCCATGGAGATGCAGTTTTGAACATACCTGCAAGGAATCTGTTGTGTGGTTAGTAGGTAGTCCACTTTTTCCATATCCTTGACCATGGGCAGTTAGAAGTCGCCCACAGAGGTCAACTGCTGCCCTCCAGTTTTTACTGCTCTGGGAAGAAAAAAAATATTAAGTAGCAAAAAAAATAAAAGAAATCTAGCTTTATTCTAGTATTATTATTTAGTATTATTATTAACAATGAAGGACAATAAATAATTTAACACATAAAATTATAAGACCAGAAAGATGGAATGAGTTTCATATTCAAAAAATAAACATCTGAATTTTCATTGACAGACTAACTTTACAGTATTCTTTAACATATTTTTTCATTCATAAAACAAAATCTTGTCTAGTTAGGTAAGTTATACTGTATTATCACACTGTCATATTCATGCTTCTACCTTGTACACAATAATGTGGCCTTGGAAAGAGCTAACACTAGAAAAAAAAAACTTTTTAGAGACTCTTGTTTCACAGGTTTTGAACTGTCCTGTGTTTCTGTTACACAGAACCTTTTTTTCAAGAGACATGCACCCAGGAGCTCATTAGAGAACCTGTAAATTTCATTGCAGGACAGTAGGTCACCGATTCTTTCAAACAGGACTTCTTAAATACAATAAAATGTAATGACCAAATGTGAAAGAAACCTAGCATGTCAGCCAGAGAAATTTAAAGGAATAGAAAACACCCATTTCAATGCTTCTGAAGTTTGGACACTCACATGTAATTGGCATTCTTCTAGATGATTTCTACTATTTACAGTTTGGAAAACAAGTTAATAGTGCAATCAGTACCTGACGAAAACTACTGGCAGCAATTGAACAGCTTTTGTACCCCATGGCCTCTATTTTACAGCTCTAGTTTTTCAAGGGACAATTATAAAGAGAGATCAAGAGAGATCATAGTGCACTGATGACCTTATCTCCCTGTATTGAGTTCTGCTGGAAATGCAGAAGTTGATCCAGAGTGTGAACGTGAAGCAACACGGCAGTTTTCCTTATGAGATCTCTGTGGCCTTATGGGAGGGCAAGAATTGATACGTATTTTTAACACCCTTCAACATAAATTCTTATCTACTTCGAAAAGCAGAAAGGCATGGAGATAGATTATCTGAACTTTATTCCTCTCCCACAGAGGCAAATTAATTTCCTTTATCGTTAGATCAGAGGCAGACTTAAGAATATAGCACTGCTCATCTTTGTTTCCTGAATGAGAGCGAGAGTCAAAAATAATGATGCAACATTTATGGACAAGCTTAGGTGCTACAGTTTTAAGGAACGATTTTGGGTATTGACAAAACAATTTTTTCTTTATAGCAGAAGACAGCCAGGAGAGGCAGGTCTTACAAGCATGGTGATAGCCATCTTCACTGGAAAAGAAAACATAATACTCCTCACTACTGCAAAAGCAAAGCTGTCTGCTGGCCATGGAGCATAGGCCTCTGTGGAAGCTAAAGCAGTAGAGCTTAGTTGAAGTCCAACAGGACATGTTATTGGCTCTGGCAACTTGAGCCAGATTTAGAATTGCCAGAGCTATCAGTCTGCCAGAAATCTTCCAGGTACTTGATCCTCTCAAAACCTTGCAGATTCTGTCACTACTTTCTCTCCTGTGTTATAAAGCCCTTAGGACTTGGGTTCCTTGCTCATGAAAATACCGGTTATGAATGTTGTCTGTAAATCATAATATCCTTCAAAGTAAACATGGAAACTACAGCTCCAAGTGCATCACCAAAAGCACAGCAGGACAGCCTGAAAGACAAAACTGCCAACACTGCTACTACGATAATCAAGACACAGCCCTACTGCATTGTGTCAAATTGTATGAAAGCATTTTCTCCACAGATAATGCTGATTCCCAGATTATATACACCAAATAAATATATTTGGTATATGAACTATACCAAATATTTCACTAACGCAGCATCAGCCCAGCAAAAGAAAACCTCTTTCCATACATGATATTAACTAACCTTTCTTTCACACAAAAAAGTATATATATATATAGAGAGAGAGAGAGAGAGAGAATGAGAGAGAGCACTGTTGTCCTTGAATTCTTCTAATAAGAGCCTCTGCTTTGAATGATTTCTGTACTTTTTACACACTAGGATTCCTGATGTTAAATTTGACCTTTTTTTTTTTTTTTTAGTCCATATAACAAAGAATGTTAAAAAAAAATCAGCAAGCACATTGTTTCCTTTACAGCTTTCAGAGATATTTTTAGTGCAATTTTAGTGCAATTAGTATTTCCATATCAGGCAGGCCTGACTTTACGAAATCAAAGTCATTCTTTAAATGGGTGGACGGAGATACTGCCTTTCAACTAAATCTGAGCACACTTCTCTGCACGGGAACCTCCTGCCTGTGGAGCACGCAGTGAACCCAGGCTAGCAAAGCAGTTTCTCCCACATTAACCACCCCCTGCATGTGATCTCACGATCCATCGCTGGACTTAGTAGTCCAGAGTCTTCAATAAGCCTGTTTTTTACACAGAGTGATGAAGGAAAGGGATATAGGGTAGCAAATAACTTGAGAAGCTGAACTTAGAATGTTGAAGCAGTCCGAATGTGAGAAAACTGAAAATGTTACAACTTTGTAGTTTCTAGAAACAAAATCTCTGGTTAAATAAAAGACACAATACAAGCCAAATCTGTAGTATGAGTAGAAAATAATGTTTCTTCCTTTTTAAATAAAAGTGTCATAAGAAAGCCAATTATTAAGAGTTTTCACAATGCCTGAAGGATGACATTCATAGATTAAGACTGAAAAAAACCACCAAGTAGCTGAATGCCACCATCTCACATGTAACTGTCCCTTAAAAGTTTCCCCATACAGGTTAATTTTGATAGGTTTTTGAATTATAGCTGAACAAGGCTGAGAGAACATGACTGCTGAAGTCTTTGTATTTCTTCTCTGTACACAATACCATAAACTGTTTTTTAGAATGAAGACAGTGAAACTCAGGTGATGCAACGAATAAGACTAAAATCCATCTGGAATCACAGTGCCAAGGAAAAAAGGCCAAGCAGAAGAGCTGGGATGATTGGTACCAACTGTGAAAGAAGCTTGCAGACTGGATGTCTGGAATAAGGGTGTTCAGTGAAAACTGAACTCACTTGACACTTGAAGGGAATTTACAACATCACTCGGCCTCTGCGGAAAACAGTTTCGAGCTAAGTCATCCAGATTCTATTCAATAAATTGAGGCTTTTTAGCGTAGAAACAAAACCTCTCCCCACAAGCCCCCAATTACTGTTTCTGCTACTTGTGTCTCCGCTCTTCTCTCAAATCAGCTACAAAAAGGTGTGGAAATTGCTCACCGATTCAGAAGGAACATGAAAAATAAAATATATAGATTTTTAAGGAGAACTTCTAGCTTGTTGAAGTAAATATGCATGCCATACCACTGCATCCAAGTTTGTTATATTTGACAATGCATGCAAATGCACAACATTAATCATATGCATAAGTAATAGCATGTGATTTTTTGCTGAAAAGAGACTCAAAGGGAGTCATTAACTCTACATGCCACACCATTAAAGTGATTAAAATGTCCTCCTCCACTAGCTATGACATTCTTCTCTCCTGTAAATTACATTGGCAAAGCATTTCCACATTAGTTAGGAAAGTGTAGTTAGTAACCCTTTCCTAATCCAGTAAGTTAAGGAAATTATTGCATACTTAAAACTATTACTACATATTTATAATGGCAAGATACAGTATTCTTTTTTTAGGCACGACAAATGTCCAAAAAATATAATTTTCCTATGATTGTAAACACCTTTCAATTCAACATAACAAAAAGGTCTGTAACAAGAAATGTCATACTACTTGTTCAGATGAAGGTAAAAAGTTAACCTAATCTATGGAGGAATAGAAACTGCTGCTTACATCTTCGAAGCAAAATTTTTATTTGCTACTATAAAAGAATGCAAAGCGAAGACAGACTATTATTTACTACACAGGCAAATACATGTTCTTGTACTAGAATAATATAGCATTTTGAAAACTGAAACTTTAAAAATTTCTGTTCTCAGTTGAATCGTATAAACAGCCTCTACAGATGTGCAATTATTTATTCACAAGTTATCACTACAATGGCAGGCACATAGATTTACAAAATTACATTGCTGGACTGTGACAGTGCTTCTACAGCCCTTCCAGCCTCAAAGTGGTTGTAAAACAATTTGGCAGCAGAACTGTCCCAATATTACTACACCAGGAACGCATTTCCAATTGACTGTTATTTATTCCATAGCAGAAATTAAAAATGTGAAAACGCAGTTGTTCAATAAAGCAACAGCAATACACGGTCGTAGCCATCTCTGGGCTCCTGATACAAATCTCACTCAAACTGGCTAGAATCCAAACTCACAGAATCCAAACTCATCCTGCCCCAACTATTTTGTTAGCCAGGTTTAACAACTGGAGCCGGTTCCTGATGAAGAGCCACCTGTCTTAGAAACGATGCTCCTGTTGGAGGCCTCATCAAGGGGCACCTTAGGAAGGTCAGCGTATTATTTTCTTGGCAGCATTTGTTTTCTGGCAACTAAGTGTATTTGAAGAAGCTTTTGCCTATGCACTTTGCACTATGATCCTAAAAGAAGGAACTCGGTCACCAATATTCTTTGTCATGAGCATTAACTTCATCTTATCCACAGAACTACCTTTTATTCTCCAAGACTGTATTTTTTTGAACTGTTATAAAGTGGGTGAGAATTTACTATTCAATGATGTACTCTGGCATCAATCCAACACACTCTTTGTTATCCTGATGAATGGACTTGGTAAATTACATCTGCAGATGTAATTAAAAAGTTATCACTATACAGTAGGGCCACATTGCTAAGCAGGAATCCGATATTTTGCATGCAAGGATATTGGAAAAGTAAAACATGGTCCTTAATATGTAAAGTCATTCCCACTGAGGCTTAAGAACTTTTGCTGCAAGTTGACTGAAACAAACAGAAATAAAGAAAATTCTGATGATTGTATGAGCTGCTAATAAGATGACACCTTCAACTCCTTTGGGTGTGGTAGGAATCTTCCAGTGCAGAAGTGGCCTTTGTACAATGCACCAGTAACACAACATTTTAAATACTGTGTTCAGGTCTACACAGTGATAATGAAATACTAACTGTAACTGCAGGAGATTTGGAGAAGAGCTATCAGGATGATTAAGAAAATTCTATTTATTATGAAAAAACTAGCATAAGTTATTTTAGCCTTTAAAGATAAAATTTGAGAGGGAGATAGTGGATGAAAGAACAAAGCAAGGTTCACATGGGTACTAAAGGTAACTACTTGCAAGCTACAGACATTCATGTTAACAAAAAGGTTTTGACAAACACATATTATATACTTGTAAGTATTTTATTTAACCTTTTTGAAGAAATATAGAAAAACGGAAACAAGCTTTTTTTCCTGATATAAAATTAAGAATTAAAGAGTTGAATGTATCATATCCACCTTGCTTACCACAAGAACTGATATGCCTTACCTTTAGTAAAACACCACAGTAAAACATGAATATATATGAAATAAACAAAGTCATTAAAATCTACTTTGAAACCATTTACATTATTTAAAACTATCTTGGTTCTAACTTCTGCATTTACATCCTTTAGAACCCAACATCATTACTATTACTTTGGTTTGCAGGATCATGAATAGATACAAGCATATCCTTTATTTCTATTTCACAGTCATTAGGTCCCAATTATCTTGAGAGAAGCATGGTATTTAACACACACTGAATTATGAAGATGAAGTACATTCTTACTTACAATTAGCTGTTTCAAGCCTACAAATGACTGTTCTACAGAGTTGGCATTTAAAACTTGTCTCTTCACTGCAGCTTGTTCCCCCAAGAAGCGAAGCATTAAATCTTTCACAGCATCTCCCTTGGTGTCCATGGAAGGAAAAACAAAAAGAAGAAACGTAAGATACTTTCTAACATTATAGCAAATTGATGAATTAAAGCTGAGCAAAATATTTCTCTACCTTGAACAATGCTTGTTTTCCACCACTTTGTGTGTGAAATGAACATACATATATATCTACTGGCAGCATTTCAATGCAATTTTCTAGACTTACTTCACATTATTTGCTCATTCTTTTTTCTAACATTCAGGTGTCAGCATCAAAAAAATCAGATATGTTTACTTCTCATTATCCTTCAAATATCTAATAAAATACTGTTTAAAGACCTTACAAAATACAGTAGGTTTTACTAGGTATTTCTAGTGACTGTTATTCTGTTAAAAGGTGCAATTTCCTCGCCACAGGTGTAAGGGCACTTGGTCAGCTGACCTGAAGCATACACAGAAACTAAATTTTGACTGAGAGATCAGAAGCCAAAGTGAATAGCAACCTTTTAACGAACAGTTAAAACTACTAAGACTGTCTATATATAAGACCGTCTATAGACAGACTATTTCTGTCTACTACGATTTCCGATCCCTGTCTTACCTGGTAAGGTAAACACTGCTATTTCACTACCACTTAAATGGACAAACGCTGTTCTCCCAAATGTTCTGCTAATCTCCTTTTTTTTTTAATTCCATTACATCCTTTCTGATATGTGGTGACCTGAACAGCTTGGCCTATTTAAGGCGTGAAGCAGAGGAAAAAAAAAAAAAAAGACTTGGCCCTGAAAAATGAATGTATAAAATAGAGTTTAGCTAGGATAATGATATCCATTTAATTGGTATTAAATGCTGGCACTTCCTCACAGGTGGTGACAGGAAAATCATTTATGTTTTCTATTTAGTTTCATGACAAACTAGACGGCAATTACTGTTTCATTACTTGGAAAGTTTTTACCTCTGACGCTTTACCTATCCTACGAACAATATTTTTACCTTTAAATCAGAGTGTGTACAATGAAACAAATGCAAAAGAACCATTAACTGTCTACTCCACTTCTTTGGAAAAGGAAATCACTACTTATGAAGGACTGTAATGAAATGGAAGGTAGCAGACAACGGCAGACAGGCAGAAGAGAGAGAGCATAAAAAAATAACACTCCTGGCTGGTTCACATTCAGAAAGCACGGGTACAGATAGCCTATAGCTAATACAGTCATGAGTGTTTTAAAATAACACTGCTTGAAACGATCAGATCAAAAGTAGCAACATACTGTTGAATTCGAGAATATTGAATACTTCTCCTTTTAAATTGCTTCATGCGACTTCAAAACAACACTCTTCTAACATTAACAAGCACTTTCTGAATGAGGAAGAAAAAATCTGTGCTGAGCTTTTCAGTACAGGTCATGAAATCTCAGTCCTCCTCTGGAGCATTTAAAGTTCACTATAAATGCACTTTTCAACTAACTTCTTTGTTAATCATATGCTGCATGGTTTAACATCTTGCTTTGACATTTAGCATCACAAAACTGTTCCTGCCAAAGCTTTAATGAACATTGTCATACGTTGGTTTAACACTGAGAACAAACCTTCCACCATGCTCCAGGTGACATCTCAAGTACTCTACAATGATGATTTCAGCTAAATACACAATTTGCAGCACTAGAAATGCCTGGAACACTGAGATCAAGCTAGAGGGTGCCAGGCTAGCCAGGGAGGGCACTCAGGCCACTGAGAAGCAGAAACTGGCAGTGAGGAAAGTTAAGTATAAAACCCTTCAAAACCTGCCTCCCTGCCAACACATCTACGTAGCTGCTTATAATCAATGAAGAAAGCAGCAGGACTCCCTCTGAATTCCTTTCTTGATTTTACAGAAGGTCATTTGTAATGTCTTCTTTTCAATGATGCACTGATGTTGCATCTGCATATATGCATATAACCCAGCTTCAGGGAATGATCAGCACAAGTAACCTTTTAGTTCTTGAACCGTCATAAGGAAATGAGGAAGAACTATTGTAAAAAAAACAGAGGTTGCATCCCCCCCTAAAAATTACTGTTGTAGAAAGAGAGGACCTTCTCCTTTGGGTTTGTGGCAGAAATTGTTCTTTGATTTTTAGGGGAGAAATATTACTATCTTGAATTTACTCATCAAGCTCAAAAAAGTGATTTTTTGTGAAGGTGTGATGAAGCAGAGAAGGAGTTGCATATTATTACAGTACTAGCTTTCATCCTAATTATTTGGTTCTATGATGTCAGACAAATATTTTAAGATAAAAGTAATGCAAGAAGCAGCAGCATGGTGCGTGTCTAAATCTTTCATCATTTTTTGCTTTAGGTACAGACATGAAAAGGGAAACTTAAGATTTTTCAGCTGCAAATCAGGACTTTATTCACTCCAAAAACTTTCTTGATAGTTACAGCAGGCTGGGAAATTACTACAGACCATTCTCTGCCCTTAATTCTACTTAACAATTTATAATCTTTATTATGCTGTCATTAAGGCTTACATATCTAAATCCTCAACACCAGCTCTCTAGACAATAATTCTACTATTCAGAGCTGTATATATGAAAAGTAGGATTTGCCCATTTTGAGAAATAAACATCCACTGCAATAGTTTGGCTTTGCTGAGCTGTCAAGAAAAAAAATACTTCACAAGAAGTGTTTACTAGATCTGAATTAGATTTCTCCAAATTGTTAAGAAAATTCCCTTGCACCAGTTGGGAAATCTTGACAGAAAAGGAAATGGGTTTCCACTACTAATCCCTTCCCCTCAAAATCTGATCAGAATTTCGCTCCTTCCTAGTAGCTGGCTCCAGCACTCATCTTGCTACAGCTCATGCCTTTCCATTGCTTAGGAAAGACATAAATGACATAATTGCAGTCAGTGTCAACATTGTTCACAGTGCTGTGAACATCGCCATGAAAAATGTTATTTACTACTTGGTTACAACAGTGCAAACAGAACTGTCTGCCTTCAGGCTTCCCAGAACAGCATTCTGGTTAATTTATATTCAAAATGGGAGCATACACTTTCTAAAAAGAATGGGCATAATCTAACTGAAATGATTTAAGATCAGATCTGATTTTAGACCTTTCATGTGTGAGTAGACCACCATATGAAGTTTCCTAATGAGGACTGGTGTAATACAAAGTGACTTTAGGCAACAATATGCAGCACTAAGAAGATGCACCAGTTTTTGGAGAGCTCTTATTCAGTATTTCTAAAATATAATAGAGACTGAAGATACAATCACAGACTCTTACCTGGATATTATCGAATTTTAATCCGGGCATGGTGAGGTTCTCTTTGTCTATGAACACAGTGCTGTATTGCTGTGTGGCAACCAAAATCAGAACGTTCCTGGTTTCCTCACTAGGAAGCCAAGCATCATTTCTTCTATCTAGCTCACTCATATTCAAGGCTGTGGCAAATGGGTCATCACTCCCAGCAAAAACAGCCTGTATTTGGGAGAAGGGCTTGGGAGACTGAGATATTTCTAAAGAGCTCGGAGGACCACCTACTTCGGTTCTCCCATTTCCTATAGAAAAAGTAGGGTCAGGTGAAGCATGAGAACTGTCTCCAGTGGAAGAAATAGAGGACATTTGTTCTGGGACTGAAGAGCTTGCATTGGGATTACTGACAGAAATAAAACTGGATGTGGTAAATGAATCAAAAAAATCTGAAGCTAAAGTATTAGTGTTCACAGTATCACCAAAGAATTTGCTTAGACTAGGACTTGGCTGAACTACCTGGGGATTAGACTTCACCGGAGTCTCAATTATACTACTAAAACTGGGAGATTTTACCATCTGAGGCTCAAAACCATCATGCAGGAACAGCTGTGGCTGAGCACGAGCATTGTTTGCTTGGCTGAAAATGGTGCAGACGGGGATGGGCTCGGCCTCAGGAGCTGGTTTGCCAGTGCTGGGTAATGGCGCCTGCTCCGTAGGTCTGTGTTCATCAGTGTTTGGTCCTATTTCAGCAGAAACATTGTTTATCGATGTCAATTCCTCCTTCACCGCCTCCTGAATTGATTCTTCCTTTAACGATGCCTGATCATCTGTTCCAATCTCAGAAATATCTCTGGGTGTTTCTTCGTGTTCAGTTTCACTCTCATTACTTAAAAGCTCTTCCTTAGCCACTTCTGCTTGTGTTTTTTGATTGTCTTTGGCTTCCATTTGCTCCACAATCTCTTGCAGACAACCCAGCTCCCCAGTGTCATCTTCGCTGTTGTTCGGAGAGTCTGAAATAATGACGCTCTCCATCATCTGCTCGTTAAGTTTATCTATAAAGTTATTAGAATCTTCGGACACCGTTTCATTCCCTTCGGACTCAAAGTCGTCCCCACCGAGATCAATGGTCTCCTCATGAAACAGCATTTCCTCCGGAGTTTTCTGCTGAGCTCCATCACCTCGGTCCTCCTCATCGGACGTGCTCCTGGCAGCCTTGGCGCTACTCCCGTCGCTTTCCATCGCGACTGCGGGAAGAGAAACGGGCACAACAACGAGCTCCGTCACTCGGGCCCCACTCAGAAGCA